GTGGAGAAACAAGTGTTTGAGAAGCTGCCAAACCTCCTTTACCTTTATATGCAGAGGAACGAGCTAAAGGAGGTGCCTGATGACCTGCCGGCCGGCTTGGAGCAGCTCCGACTCAGCCGCAACCAGATCTCAAAGATACCTCCTGGAGCGTTCAGCAAGATGAAACATCTTGCGCTTCTAGATCTGCATCACAATAGGATCAGTGACACCAGCTTGGGCAAGAACATCTTCAAAGATCTGAAGAACTTGATTCAGCTCAATTTGGCCCACAACATCCTACGGAAGATGCCTGCGAATATACCCAACAGCCTCTTCCAGCTGTTCTTGGACAGAAATAACATCGAGGAGATTCCACAGGACTACTTCAAGGATTTTGCACACCTGGCCTTTGTGAGACTTAACTACAACCAGCTTAGCGACAAAGGTCTTCCAAAGACGGTGTTCAACATGAGCTCACTGATGGATTTGCATTTGGCCCATAACAAGCTGAGCACTGTTCCCCTGTTCAACTCTGAACTGGAGCAACTTCACCTCAACAACAATGCCATTGAGAGTATGTACTTAATTCAACTTTTTGTATTGTGTCACAGAACATTTTTTTCAACAAATTTTCAACACATTTACTTGTCTTTGCAGGTATAAATGGCACCGAGATCTGCCCCACTAACTCTCACAACATGCACGATGAAAACGGAGCACCCAAACTGAGATACCTGCGCCTGGATGGCAATCACTTGAGTCCCCCTGTGCCCTTAGATGTCATAATGTGCTTCACACACCTCCATGCTATAGTGATATAAGATGACATACCCGATTTATGCATGCCTGCGCACAACCAGGCCCTCCTGTCTACTTGACAGTACTGATTGAATCAAACAGTACCAGAGAAAACATGCAAGTAATTAAAAACAAATGCCAGTGCATTTTTTTTTTTTTTTGATGTTCAGGAATGTTTCAGTGTGTAACCTGAAAACCTTAAATGCATCATATTTATTGAACTTTCTGTCTTGAATACAACCGAGCATGAGTATTCTGCATTAAACGTTTCCATGTGATAATACAGAGCAGAAGCAGCGATGGCTGTGAGTGGAATTAATTAAACCCTAAAAATAAAGGTACATTAACTGACGTACTGTGCTACAGACAGCAAGTGTAGTTACAATGAATAAACTGGAAGAATATTGTCTATAGGGGTAGACTAGAGATATGATGAAAAGAATGATAAACGGGGGTAACTACTATGTAGTTGAAAAAGTCCTTAATGTGCCTGTGTTTTTAAAGTAATGTTTGTAGCCCTGCCTTCATCTTGTCAATATCTCTATATAAATAAAATTGTATAGAAAAAAATGTTCCATTTAAACATACTTGTTTTAAAAAAAAAGAATAATATTGTAGACCCAAAAGGATTTCTCAAAGAATCCCACGAAGGGTTTTTTTTTAAAAAATGATTAAAAGGCTAATTTAATCATTTCAATTATATGCTTTTTATATTGGCCATATGCACATTGTAGTTTGACGTATGCTATCTGAAAGTAGACTCTGTCACTGTAAAGGTATAATGCACCTGCTATATTCCACACTTCACATAACATAAAAATACAATATAACAATTACAATAGGACCCTTGCACCATGTGTGCTTGGGCCCTAATATAACCAGACAAGAAGACAGATTTAGTGAATAATTTAGAACACATCCACAAACTTTTCCAAAGCCAAATGTACAAAGCACAAACGAAAATTGTGTCTATAGCGACATCTTGTGGAATCTATGTACACTACATTATATTGAGTAAATTAATAAGATTCAAGATTCAAACACTCTCATTTATATCAAGAAAACACACATTGCACTAGCATCGCATTGGCATCTCAACAAGTTAACTTCTTTTGTTTTCACGTTACGAATACTTGCTGTTTTCAAAATGATATGGAATATTTTCAGACTGTAGGCTACTAATGTTTTATGGTTTAATCATTTTATACAATATTGGCCAAAAGTGATGTCTGAAGGGGATATTGTTATAAATGATCCTATAAGTTTGTTTAAAACATCAAAATATAGGGAAAGTATTTTATTTTTCCAAATATTTTTTGAGAAGAAAACACTAAACTTAAATATTCCCAAAAAATGAAATATTTGCTGTTGTTTATTTGTCTATGTGGTGTTTTTAATATGCTTTACATATTATTGCTCTTCTCCCAGGGGTTATAGAGAGGGTCCGGTGGTACCTCATAGTCTCATCCCAAGACGACATACAACTGATGCTTTTGACCATACGTCAACATCCGCCATTTTAGAGGTACCCTTAAACGTCGGTTAGATGACGTTATCTAATCCTAACCCTACCCCAGACCTAAACGTACCCCGTCACCTAACTAACGTTAAAGGTAAAGCGTCAGTTGGATGACACCCCGTCATCTAACCGACGTTTAAGGGTACCCTAAAACAGCGGATGTTGACGTGTGGTGACCTGTGGTCAAAACCGTCAGTTGTATGACGTCTTGGGATGAGACTGTGTTAGGTGGTACGGGATCAGATTGCTCCTAGTAGCCCCATACTGGACGGCCCGAGTGTGGTTTTCTGACATTAAGGTTCTTCTAGCAGGTCCGCCGTGGCAAGTTCCGATCAGGAGGGACCTTCTTTCTCAGGCCGAGGGCTCAATATTTCACCCTCAGCCGGAGATATGGAAACTGTGGGTTTGGCCGCTGAGGGGGACCAACTCTTAAATGCTGGTCTCTCAAATGAGGTTGTTGAGACCATCTTAAACTTTAGAGCCCCCTCCACGAGGAAACTGCATGCATTAAAATGGAATGTAAAATGGAACGTCAGGTGGACCCAGTGGCTTCAGTGCTGGAGTTCCTCCAGAGTCTATTCTCTGACGGGCTCTCCCCGTCTACGCTGAAGGTCTACGTGGCGGCCATAGCTGCCTTCCACACGCCTTTAGGGGTGGACTCTTTGGGGAGACACCCACTAATTGTACGTTTCCTTCGTAGAGACAGGAGGATGAGGCCTCCTTTGGGTCTCCTGAGAGGGGTTTACCTGTTTCAAAACAAACTATAAGCAGATGGATAGTGGATACAATCTCTTCAGTTTACGAGGTGCGTGATTTGCCTTCACCTCTGGCACTAAGAGCCCACTCTACATCCGGCGTTTTAGGGTACCCTTTAACGTCAGTTAGATGATGATCCTGGGGCGTCATACCTTTAACGTCAGTTAGGTGACGGGGTATGTTTAGGTCAGGGGTAGGGTTAGGATTAGATAACGTCATCTAACCGACGTTTAAGGGTACCCTAAAACGGCGGATGTTGAAGTATGGTAAAAAGCTTCAGTTGTATGACGTCTTGGGATGAGACTGCGCTGTTTAAACACTTAATTAAACAAGTATTTCAGGTATTCATTTCCTTGCTGTGCAAAGAACTCATACGACAGACAGTTACCTGTATTTCACACCCTTAAAGAAAATTACAACTATAAAACAAACTGCTTGCATCATCAGGAAACAGAGCAAGGAAAATCTAAACTTATTTCCTACCAATGTCGTCTAACAGTGCCAGAAATTATTACAGAAAACTTTTTCTAGGCCATGGGGTGTATACTTTCAAAAGGCAAGCAATGCTGGTCACTTGATTATAAAATTATCAGTAAAAAGGCAATGTCATATCACACAACAATGTCAGGAGGAAATTTGCTATCCTGTTCAAAAAAAAAAAAGAAAAAAGAAAAAGAAAGAATACTACTGTAATTGAGTTTTGGTCATAAGACAAAATTTGGTTAAAAGTAAGCTGCGCTTGAAGGTCTAAAAAAAATGACAGTTGATTGAAAAGGAAACTCCGACGTTTCTGTCAGCTTTTATCAGATGAAATGAACACGTGCAAGGACGAAGAGATAATGGTATAGTAACGATTATGTTAGCCCCTGATACCCAAGGCGGCCGCAGAGGGACTGCCCCAATGGTAAGTGTACAGAAAGCTCAGCTGCCTTAACAGACCAGCTAAAAAAGAATGATGAGATAAAAGTAGTTTAGTCTTTCTTCCTCATTAGTCATGAAATAGTTTATAATTTATTAGGGATGTAAAAATATATCATGCCACAATATATCGCAATACAAAAAAAATGTAACAATACGTATCATGGATAGTGATAAAATGTGGTTAGTCACCCCAAAATAAAAATTACTGTGTGAGAAGTTTTCAGAGTTTTAGTGTCGGTACAACATTGAACTACTATATATAATGTTGATTATAATGCAAATGGGGGAATATTTGTGAGTCCTGATAATGCCAAACGTCTGTCACCAGTAAAAAGTGGCCGACCCTATTTTAAATATATCTAGTCAATGCTAGTCAGTGCAAGCATACTCATAACTACAATAACAAGTAATTTCAGCTTCAGAATCATGAATATTTTTATTCTGGTGTCACCATTGTCCTTGGGTTACAAGCACCAATGTAATATCAAATTTAGCATTTTAATCAACTGTATTTTTTTTTTACCTTTTACCATATGTCTTGGAGTATCGCAATAATACCGTATCGTGAGTTCAGTATCGTGATATGTATCGAATCGTGACATGAGGGTATAGTTACACCCCTATTATTTATAAATGTATATAAATGGAGGATCATGTGACGCTGAAGACTGCCATCACAAACTAAACTTTGCCATCACTTTACTGTATTCTTGATAAAAAACTAAACTTTAGCATTTGCATTAGTAAACTTCTTTCAAAAACATAAAAAATCTTACCAACCCCAATATTACAAAGATACATAATTGCTAAACTACATAACATGCTACTACAGGTATTGTAAAATGATGTATGTCAGTAATTGTTTGAACGGAAGTCCTTCATCCTTTCATGTCAATTCCCATAGTGATGAATTAAAAAATGTTAAAAAAAGAAATTCACTTCCTCTTACTGTAATGGGAGGTAAAAGATAATCAAGGAATACCTGTCGAAATTCCCCTCTTGTCCCACTATAAGAGCACCAGCCATCACCATGAAGAGGTGCACATCATTCTACGAAGAAAACACTCCACGGGCATCACTAGGTAACAAAACATATAGCATATATTTTATCCTACAATAGACTAAAAAAAGCTCAAGTATAATTTTATGTGACACATACAAGGTTGTGTTTGACTGTCTTTTCCTTATTTCCCAGGCTGAATTATCAGAAGCATAATGAAGGACTTTTTTATAATATTTGTATGCATCATGCTGTATGGTCTATGGGACTCAGCCCAGGGTCGGAAGCTTCACTTGGGCAGTTGTAAAGTGAACATTCACACCCACGAACTCAGGCACCACTTCCAGCACATTCGTCAAGGCATGGTAAGCATGCTTACCGTCTAAAGCTTAGTCATGTGCTAGTTTCAGCATTTTCTTCTGTTAAAATAGCTGGTTGCGGTTTGATGCATTCTAAACATGTATACATAGCGCCATGTCAATTTCCCACCATAACAATGACGTCACTGGCGATGTCAATGGGCTTTCTCGACAGGCTTGACATGTCAACCAACAGGTTATTGATTTTAGCTACGTCATTCTTTGTGACTCTGCATGTCTAAATCAAAAGAACAGCATGTGGCAAGACAAGCTTTTTTGTTTCAGTTCTGGGCTTTAACCTGCCAATGAATTTTAAGCTTGACAAAGGAAAAGGAATACCTCAGTGGAAACTCCTGGCAATGCATTCAGCACTTTGTCAGGGTGACGAATCATATCCCTGGAAAAAACAGAGCAAAACAATGACATGCAAGCAACATCAAACAAAGTTGTTTTTAGACTGGCATCATTTCTATTGCGTCTGTGGTTTGAGTTATGTAGCGATTACAATGCAATCTGATAGTATCTCATGTTTTGACAGATTTCTGGAGATGATTACAAGGGAATCAGATTACTTAGAAAAGATGTAATGAACGGTGTACAGGTAACATTTTTTATGTTTTTTTTTTTTTTTTTTTTGCAGCGCCTGTAGCATCATAACCTTTGCAGAATCAACTGATCAATTCAAATGTGCCATTACTGTCAAAAAATCTGTGATTTATGTGTCTCCCCCATTATAAGGCTACAGAAAGCTGCTGTTTCCTCAGGCAGCTCTTAGACTTTTACATGGATAAGGTCTTTATCAGCTACACCAGCAGTCATGCACTACATCGCAGAACCACAAGCGTCCTGGCCAACTCCTTCCACAGTATCACCAAGGACCTGAGAGTGTGTGTAAGTACAACGTAGAGTACTAGACAGAGAGCCTACTTAAATTTAAAAGATGTTTTTCAAACTGTAGCAATTGTAAGACTGGAAAAAAATGAGAAAATTCCAAAGACCTTCTTTGGGGATTTGGATGGCATCTGAAATCCCAAAATAAGGTCTTTGACTAAAATATTGCTTAGTATTAAAAACTTGCAAACTACAATATTTTGTGAGGATTTTCCTATTTTTTTTCCCTGTACCAACTGTGACCTACATACATACCTGTCTGCTAAAATGAACTGTGCAGGGGTTGGTTACTAGTAAAAAAAAAAAAACTGTAGACATTTCAATATAACTGTGTACTGTAGAATATTGGTGGGAATAATACAGATAGAGATGTTCTTGAAAAGATTTCAGAAGATTAACTTAACCATGTGATGTTTTCTGTCTATCCAAAAGCATGCTAATGAACACTGTGAATGCAGTGTAGATGCCAGACTAAAATTCACAGGCATTCAAACCACATATGACAAGGTAAGAGACATAAGAACTAGGCCTGGAAACACAGACAATAAAAACATCAAAGACTTCTTCAGACTTTTAACACTCTTAATTATGATTATGAAATTTTTTGTTAATCTGACAATAATTATACTAGCTTTTCTCCCACAATCAGCACGGAAAATAAAACTTTCTTTTTGTCTCTCAGCTTGATCAGGCAGCAGGATCTGTGAAGGCTATCGGAGAGCTGGATTCGCTCTTTGAATGGCTAGAAAGTTTCCAACCCCACTGATGATAGTCCAAGACCTTAAGTGAAGCTCAATATTTATTATATTTCTAGAGGATAATCAGCTGCATAGATTCAAGAAGAATCTTTACTACTGTACTTGATTTTAAAAATATGGAATTCCATTCTGGAAAAGATATGACTTGGAATAACGGAATTACTTTTCAGTATTTGTTTATGGGCCATGTTTCTAAGCATATTTTGCATGATGTATAAATGTCATGCTGCAAAGTAGACCTTAGAGGTCAGTTTGTAATCTACATTTTGAACATATTTGTTTTTATTGTATTTATGTATTTATAAGTGTGATGTTTAAAATAAATATATATTTAAACTGTTATTGTGAATCTCCTGTTATACCACAAAATCTATTCAGGTGAATTGAGACACATTATAAGAAATCGTTCAAAAACTTGTTTCATATGTGGAGTTTCACCACGTCAGAGTAAACCATAAGTAACCATAATCTTGTCATATTTATGCTAAAACGCTCCAGTCTGAAGTTTTAAATAGAAGAAGAAAATAGTAGGGTAAAGCTATTATGCTAGTGTGCTTACTATTAGGGATATGGCCGAATAATAAAAAAAAGCGTGAATAAACAAACAATGAATTCTACTAAATAATAGGAAAAATATTCAAAAGACATTCATGTTTGCTGGATAAGGTGAGCAGGGGATAGCATAGAACAATATTATAGCCTACATAAACCTCTAAAATCAAAAACGCTATAATGCGCGTGTGAAGTGAATGAGTCTAGGGCTGTCATGATTCTTCGATTAAATTCAAGAACTCGATTTTAAAAAATCCTCGATTGAAATTGACCCGTCTTGAATAACCGGCAAAATACTGGAAGTGGTGCATTCTATGGACGAAATTAAATCCATGGGAGGGTAGATGGGTCTATGCTGTCAAAAACAATGCAGATGAGACTGAAGCATACAAGGCCAGATATATAGCAAACAGCTATAGTCAAGTGATGGGTGTCTGAAATCACGATTTCCATTACACGAGAGTAGATGTTAAAACTTCATGCTGATTTGTACTCGGCTTTCGCCAAGGTAAGCAAAACTAAGACGTAGCTTTACAGTAAACTATGCTTCTCCATTCATTTACGCTTCAGTTCTTTCCATATGGTGGTGTGACTTCCCTTCTGTCCTGCGTTAATGGCTGCAGTGTACTTTCCGCGACGACTGCAACTACAGTGTGGTCTCCCTTGGACCAACACGACAACCGTCTGGATTGAGCCGAGTAGGGGACATCTCTAGGGTCTTCAAGTGGGGGACATCTCTAGGGTCTTCACCTTCCGTCCTCAGTGTTTTGTCGACAAGCCCACTACACCTCAAGAGGGCTCGACAGTGACTCTTGCGTCCCAGAGTCACCCCTCCGTCCCCCACTCAACTCAGCCCAGCTTACTGACCTCAACATTTCATCCTGCTGCTGAGGTAGGTTTAGGTCTGGGGTAAGGTAAGGGTTAGACGTGATCCTAGGGCGTCATCTAACTGATGCTAAAGGGTGCCTAAAGCGTCAGATATTGAAGCATGGTCAAAATGCTTCCCAAGGCGTCAGTTAGATGACGCCTTTGGATGAGAATGGGCTGTTTTTTACTGTGTGACGCAACTCTTGGCCATTGAATCCGACGTCTCTGAGGAACCGGGTTGTAGAGTGTGCCACAAAACCTCGACAACCCACTTCCACTGGATAAACCTGGACTCTCCATCCTCGCTGTTTTGCTTCAGTGGCCAGATGAGCATATACCACAGTTTCTTCCTCTCATATGCCTCATCTACCGCATCCTCACATGGCACTGTTAACTCTATCAGTTGAAAAATGTGTGCTTATCCAGACCACAAAACAATATCTGGTCGTAGGTTAGTGGAAGCAAACTTAGGTGGAAAAATAAGCCATTGATCAAGATCACCCAGCATCTTCCAGTCCCTAGCAGCTTCCAGTTGTCCTGGGCGAGAATTGGTGTTAACACCTTGTCTTGGTGGTTGCTCGCCTGGGCGGAGGAATATTGTCTTCTGCGTGTAATGTTTTGCAGGCGGCAACTTATTGGTCATACTACGCTTGCCTTCCAAATCAATCTATCAAATCACGACAATCCTATTGACCGGCGACAGCCCATGAATCATTAACGTGCGGTGCGACCTGGAAGTATATTAGGGTGCCTTGCAAACATCTTTTCGTCTTCGGGGACTGCTCTGTCAGTAAGAATATGAAAATCAGGTAATTACGAAATTAACTAAGAAGGCTGAGTGCTTTCAGAAGTGTGAAGTTTCTTGCCCGAAATATCTGAAGCCGAGGGTGTTTTCTGTCTGGGGCAAGACCACGCAGCTCTCGAGGGAGCTGTCTGGGCAAATTGTAAACGTTTTTCTGTGAAAACACCCCGCTTTCGTTTGGCCCTCCTCTAGACCTTGTGACTCAGCTCCCGAGCTCTTTTATTAGCATATATCCATTTATGGATAGCAGGTCACATTCATGTGACATGAGCAGTTTGAGGGCACACATTACAAACTTTAACATCCTCAAAGCACGCTATGTTGAAGCACTTCATAAGAGGCTATCGGCCCCGACAATGAGAAGATAAGGGACTACGGATGAAAAGTAGTGTTGGCTAAATCTGTGGCCTTTGACAAATTATGTATTGTTAATGTGTATTGTCTCTGATTAAATAAAATATAAATAAATGAAAATTCAAAGAAATGTTACAATTTTAATAAAAGACAAATCATTTTGAGTTATACAAGGCATGTTAAATAAACTACGAAGGGAAAAAAATACATTTAAAACTGGCATCTCATGTAATTTTATGAACTTGCAAGGCAGACTTCCATTTCTATCCGAATACATTTACAGATAGGAATAATTTTGAGATTGTAACAGAAACATATAGTTACTCCGCTGCACACCCCTACTTGCTATTTAATTCACACACAGTGTAGCTTTAAAATGCTAAACTGTGTAACTCTTTTAGTTTATTCTTAGCTAAAAACACTTTCAAAAATATATGTGCTCATTAATGTATATTTACTTCGTTCAAGTAATAAAGTATTCTTGTGACTGTATAATATGCCATTGAAAATACATACGGGTAAGGGGTTCTAATGTCGGTCGCCATGTTGCCCCTCCATCTTGAAAGTACATTAGCCAAAGAGGGACATACCCGTTAATTCAAGCTTCGCCTTTCGCGTTTACTTTTGAGTTAACAATCATGGACGAGGTCGAACTGGAAGCCATGTTAATCTTGGACTACATTGGCCACCGTAGAAGTTAAAAGGAAATCGGATTGTACTCTTGTACAATACTCTAAGTGTACTCTTGATACTCAAGTACTTTTAAAAGCAAGAGACATCTGACTGTAGTACTTTTATGTGTACGTGAGTAAAATTTTGGGGTATCTGTACTTTTACTCAAGTAATAAAGCTATGTACTCTGTCTGTCTCTGGGGTATGTAGATGAGAGGATGAGGATGGACAAAAGCCAATTTAATATACCACCTCTATATTTACTTGTGCAAATTGCGCACTAATGATAATGATAAAATATTCCACCAAAATGTGAAGTGAAGTCAGAATTCTGCTTTAAAAAAGACGTTACAACTTAAATACAACAATACTGAATAAATGAAATATTTAAATAAATGTTTGATTAATCTAACAGGAAGTGCCAATAAGGTCTGTAGACTTCTTTGTGACTTTTTATATCTATTCTAAGATATACTTAGAATAGTATATCTGTGTAACAGACACTAAATCAAAACAACAAAAAAGTGGTTTAGTGGTGGCAATAACTTTGCATTGTACTATGATTTGGTATTTACTATTTCAACGCATTCTCACCCCAAGGCATCACCTTTGACCATGCTTCAATATTTGACGTTTTAGGAGCCCTTTAGCGTCACTTACATGACGCGATCCTACGGCGTCATCTGCCTAGTTCACACTACGTGATTTTAAGCCCGATTTGCAAATCGGTGAGTCGCCGACAAGTCAGGGTGTTATCGCGTGCAAATCGCGGGCGATTAGCGGACGATTAACGCTCGCCAATCTGTTAGTGTGAAAGAGCCAACAACGCATCAAAGACAGCTCGCAGACACCTCGCAGACAGGTCACCGAGCTCAGAAAAATATCTAGCCTGCTAGATATCTCGAGCAGTCGCGCGACTCAATCTCAGTGATGTCATGAGTACAGCCAATCATAGCAACGCATGGGTTGAGGACACCAGGTAAATCTTACTTTGTCTTTTTTGAATTTTTTTTTCTCAGAGCAGATCGTCGAGCAAACAGTGTGCAGCACTAGTTTCTGTCTGATGTCCATATTCGCGTGTTGTGTTCTTCTCTGCAGTTTCGCGTCATTTCTGGTTCGTTTTATTGCGTGGTTTTTCGTGACAAAACATGGTTTCTAGACCAGATAGAATCGTGTTGTTGTCAACTCGTTATTTGTTTGATTATTTTCAGGATTTAGACCGTACTATAGTACTGAAACAGCTCTCATTGAGTCACAAATGATATGCTCTTATCATCCGATCGTGGTTGTATCTCTATGTAGTGCGTTGTTAACTCGTGTAGTGAGTTACCTCCTGTTGTGGATCAATCACGTTGTGTTGTGTGGTGTGAACAGCTAAACAACTTGAACACTCATGATTTCACTGAGAGCAAGTCATGTAGTGTGAACTGCACAGTTCAGCCTGACATTTTAAAATCATGTAGTGTGAACTAGGCATAACTGACGCTAAAGGAAAGCGTCAGTTAGAGGATGCGGTTAGGTTTAGGTCTGGGGTGGGGGTAGCTACACGCGATCCTAGGGCGTCATCTAACTGACGCTAAACGGCGCCTAAAGCGTCAGATATTGAAGCATGGTCAAAGTCAGTTAGGTGACGCCTTGGGGGTGAGAATGGGCTGACTATTTATAGAACAACATTAAAAATAAATACCTCATTCATAACCTGTTAATGTTGATACTATAATCTCCTATTCTAAGGTAACTAAATGATACAATGTTAGGGTAAATAATACAAAGTATGGCCAAATTAAGAGATGTGCTTTGTAGTAGAGAAGACATCTTAACGTCATGGAGAAACATTACTACATGCACAACATTTAAATATTTCAAAGCCTTCCAATGACAGCAAAACAGATAAATGATTCCATTCTGATGTGTGTCAAGTACATACTGTAGCTGACTTGGCTCAAATTTCATGATTCACTTTCATAACAGCTAAAAAAAAGTGAATTTACTGAAACCAGCTCAGCATAACAGGAAATTTCTTGCGTGTTTAGTTCTTGCTGAACAATTAACAAGTTAAATAAAAAAAAAAATTAAAAAAAAGGCAGGCAAAGCA